TCTCTCTCTTTCACACACACACACACACACACACACACACACACACACACTGTCCCTCTCTGGTCAAATTAAAATAAATAAATAAATGAACAAAGTTAAATGAAATAATTCTAAAAGAAAATTCCTTGAGTTTTTCATAGTGACATCTTCAAGCCAAAGGACAGCTGAACCTTTCCAGAAGAGCTTTGTGTTGGCCTCCTGCGTCCTCTCTCCCACCCCACCCCACCTGCCCTTCCCAGGGACAGCTCTTGAAGTCAACAAAGAAAGAAAATCAACAAAGGGACCAAGACCCAAGTCTAAAGTATCTCATACAGTTCACGATTCCCATCATCTCTCCATTCCTCCATCTAGCTCTCCCTGAGAACAACCCTCAGGCCTAGGCAAGACAGGGCTCCTGAGGGATTCATGTGCAGCTCAGAAACAAGTGTGAAGGAGGGATTCCTGTGGTGATCTCTGAGACACTGAAGTCTTGAGAAAACTGAAGTCATGCATTGGTGCAACCTGATGGCCAGTGAATGGTTGAGGCAGGTTAGTGTGTCTCTGCCTGATGTGGTACAATGAGGTCATTATGAATATTTGGAAAGAGATCTCCTGATCTGTTGGGCACGGGCAGTGTATACTCTGGCTCCTACCCTTGGTGGGCAGGTCTCCCTGAATCCAGACTAACCACCCAGTCTGGCATCTTACCGGGCCCTGAGGGACATCAAACTTTTCTGGTAGGAGGAATCCACATCCAATGCCAGCAGCCGGGGAATATCTGGATGTCCCCCTAGCTGGTCCCAGAGCAGGCTGGCAGGGGTCTTTTTCTCTATTGGATGACTGGAGGAGGCCACGTCAGTCTTCCAGATGGCCTCCATTTGGTTCCCTTGTTGGCTGGGAGTCAGATGAGGGTATAGAGAATGTAAAAAGAGACAAATAGTTAGACATAAAGAGAGAGAGAGATTGACAAGCAACAAGCAGTCCAGGGCCACAAGACTCAAGACGATGGCTTTGTTTTCTTCCCTTCTGAAATAGAGTTTGTCACTGCTCTCATTCCCTGGGGCTTCTCCAGCTTAGGAGCTGCTGGAAGAGGCTCTTAGAGTAGCCCTGTGTCCCAGGGACATGCCCTGGGACCAAAGCCCTAAGCCAGGCCACACTAGGATACATGAAGATGTGGGTCTTCTTGGCTGCCCAGAGGCTCAGAGAATGTCTTTTTGAGCCTGGGTAGGGGGAGGCATGTCACATAGGAGGAAGGCTTCTCTATGTGGACAGACCAATGGTAGGTGCTAGATTGATGCCTGGGATCTTCAGAGTTTTTCAGTTGCAGTTTGAAACATGCTCAGTCCATCTGGCCCCTGAGGCCCACGTACCGCCACCTCTGATCAATGGGTCAGCACTGGCCAGGGCAGCTGAGAAGATGGGTACCTCACACCTCTTGGGGTGAGTGCTCCCATTCACTGCCTGTTTCCCCAGCCCAGCCATCCCTGCCCCCTTCCTCACCACCCATCCAGCACTGCGCCCTCTGCACTCCTGCACCTACCGGGCCATCTGCAGGGGCACACATTCCAGCTGCTTGGATGGAAGGGGCTGCTTGCAGGTGGAGCTGCTAGAGCAGATGCGCCGAGGTAGGACTGGAGGCGACTTGCATCTCTTTGTCTTTGGGGAGGTGACCACAGGGGTGTTCAAGTGAATGTTCCACTCCAGCTGGAGCTAAAGGAACAAGCAGAGAGACATCAGGGAGACAAACAGGAAGTTATCTCCTCTCTAGCGCTCAAGAGGCACCACCTGACTGTTGTTGCTGAGGGGGCCAGGCTGAGTGGAGAGGGTGAAGCTCAGGGATCTCTCCAATAGAAACCTTGGGCACCCCAGTGTATCTGACCTTTCCTAGAAATTCCTCACATTCTTTTTTATTTATTTATTTATTTTAAGTTTTGCTATAGGATGCGTATGCTCACTGGAGAGACAGAGAGAGAAAGTGAGGCATCACCCCCTGGGGGGATGGCCAGGCCACAACTCCTTCTCCATTCTCCTCTCAGGATTTTGGGCATGCACACACACACCCTGTATGTTTTTCAGACCACCGGGTCAGGACTCAGACTGTGGAGTCGGCCATGTGGGATCCTGTACCTTAACCACCATGCTACCAGCAAGCCCTGTGTCCACATCTTTAAAGTACCAAGAGAAAAACCTGTCCACCTGGAATTATATACCTAGCAAAAATATCTTTTAAAATTGAAGGCTGCATAGACTTTTAGGCACGCCAAAGCTGAGAGAATTCATCGCCAGCAGATGAGCACCGTGAGAAATGTTAAAGGAAGTCCTCAAGGCAGAAGGGAAATGTTAGCAGATATACATTTGAATCTATGCAAAAGAACTGGAAATGCTAAACATGTAGGTAAATAGAAAAGATTATTGATTACTGATATCTAGAAAATCTCCAAATACTTGAAAATTAAACAACATACTTAAAAAAAAAAATTTTGTTGGAGGGTATGTGCACTCACCAGATGGGGCTCAGTGAGAAAGCACCCTCACTGGGGAATGGTGATGCTACAATCCCTGACCCTTCATTTACGCCTCCTTTCAGGATTTTGAACACATACATGCATGCCTGGTATATTTCTCAAGCTACTGGGTCTAGAACCAGTAGAGACAGAGAGAGACCCTGCCAGCTCTCCGAGAGTCAAAACAGGCCAAACCCAGAGGGTCAGGACTCAGAATGACTTCAGCCTCCGAACAGCAGCCTCAGAACCTGTGGCAGCAGGCAAGGAGCAGTGCCCTCAAAGCTGGGAGGGAAAGTGGATTCTAACTTGGCTTCCATGTCCATGCAAGCTCTCGGTGCAGAGTGAGGTAGATCCTAGACAAAGACATTTTCAGACAACCAGGTCTCGATGATTTAGCCTCCCATGCTCCCTTTGTGACTAGAGAATAGACTCCACTGAAACAAGGAAATGAACCAAGAAGGAACACCAGGGTCTAGAAAGCAGAGGAGCTGGTCCAGGCAAGAAGCAAAACAAGTCTCAGGGACCCATGGAGGAGGGAGAAATCCAGCGCAGTGGGGAGAGACAGCAGGACTCAGCCACCCAGCCCCTTCAGAAGAATCTTCTCTTGTGTCACTTTTTTTGCAGGGCCCCTCTTTGAGCCCCACGTGCCTGGATGGAAAGCTGCCCTCACACTCAGGCCACTTCCCGCCTTTGCCTCTTCCTGGTCCAGAGTCTTTCAGCTGCTCTCTCACTTCCCATCTGCTCCCTCCGTATCCCTTCAGAGCCCTCCTCCCCACTGGCTCATTGCCTGGCCAGTCCCTCCCAAGGAGGTGGAGGTGGAGGCCCACCTTGGGGAACATGGTCACCATGCTGCTCATGCACTCCCGGCGCTTCTCCTCCAGGTCCTTCTGCTTGTCTGTCCAGTCCTGCAGCCTGAGGTTCTGCAGGCGTTCAATGTTTTCCAGGAAGACGTAGAGGTTCTGGGCCTTGTTAGTAACTCCCTTTTCTCGCAAGACTTGGATGTGGTTAATCACCTCTTGTCTGGGAAGAGAGGAGGAGCAGTTCAGGGGAAAAGAGGTCTTCTCCCCACAAATCTACTAACTAGACTTTCCTATAATTCCTGGGAGCAAAAGGAGAGACAGAGGTCAGGAGGAGCTGGGGAAAATGGAGTAGAGAGTTGGAGGTGGTATCAGGTGAGCAGCTCTGGGGCTTGGCTAGAAACAGGAAGAGAAAGTAGAGCAAAATGGGGGAGCATATTAGGTAGTTTTGAACAAGGCTGGACATCCTTGGCTGGTCCCCTCCCTCTGGAGACCTTGTCCGGGCCTGGGACGGTTCTTGCCCTCACCCCTTCCTTCCTACTCCTTCTCTCCTGTTAGGTCTTGGCTGTGCCCACCTGTGGCAGTGGGGGTGGGCGGGGGCACGGGTGGACCTACCGGAGGCTCTGGAAATGTCTGGAGAGGAGGTACTTGCGGCACAGGTACTGCAGCCTGCGTGCGCTCAGCTCCATGGTGGTGGTGGTGAGTTCCAGGGCCTTGCTGCGCAGGGAGTGGGGCAGCCTCAGCCCAGATTCCTCATTCAGTAGCTGCAGATTCTTCCTTTGGGCCTCCATGTCCATGTGGTACACCTTCTCCTTAAGAGTTGTTGGGGATGTCCGCAAAGAGGGTCGGGTCACCCTTCGGATAGATGTCCCAGTGATGGGAAAGGAAGAGGATTTCTTGGGTTTTGTGGGAACCTGGTGGGCTCGTGGTTTCTGGGTAAACTTGGCTGAACTTATGGTCCTCTGATTTCCCAGGGTGGGCTGCTGGGGATGAGGGGACCTGGGCAAGTATGGCCTCCTCCCTGAGCAAGCAGACTGGGCCCGGCTTTGGGGAGGCACCAGCAGTGGCTCCGCCTTCTCCAAGTTCCTCCATCGACTGGTGGTCGTGAAGATCATCCTCTCCAAGTCTTCCCTCGGCTGTCCCAACTCTCTCCTAGGGCCCTCGCGCTTCTTTTCTGGCTGGATGTATCTCTGCCGCTGCTCCCTCGCCACCACCTCCATCTCCCACTGCCTCAGCTTCTCCTGGTGCTCCTGCTCCAACAGTGCCCACTTCTTCTGCCGCTGCAGCCACATCTCCTCCTCCTCCAGCCACTGCTGCCTCCGCTTCTCCCAGCTGAGCTCCTCCACCTGGTGCTCCCTGGGGCTGTCTGAGGGTACCTTCCTATAGCTCTCTGAGGGTGGCTGCTTCCTAAGGTGCAACTTAATTTGGAATCCTTCCTTCTCCTGCAAGTAGTCCTCCTGGTCTTTGTCTTTGTCTTCTGCCTCCAGTCCTTCCAATTCCTTAGCAAACTTGCAATCCTCTGGGGACAGCAACACAGGCTCAAGGCTTTCAGTGTCCTTGCTGGTAAACATGTCTGCGATCCTCGAATGCGTGGTCATTGTGGAAAGTAGCTGATACGCTGGGGCAGTAGCAGCACTGTCCCAGGCTGTGGCCAGGGGGCTTGGGGAAAGTGGTGAATACAACTCTTTGGGTTCCTGTTGGGTTTCCTCCACAACTCTTTCTTTCTTTGGGAGGGTCTCTTTTTCAGGGGGTGTCAGGGAGTCAACAAAAATCTTGTCTGAGTCTTCTGCTCGACCTTGAGCAGTCTGAGCCTTCTTTAGCTGGAACTCTAAGGCATGCTTTATCAGGAGCAGGTCATGATACTTTCCCCCCAGAAGTTCTACCTGCTTTAGCAGAGCATCCCTCTTGCTCTCGAGGACTTGAATGTTCTTCTGGAAGTACAGCCTCTGGCTGCTGAGCTCTTTGGTCATCTCTATTTGCAGGTACCTGTATTTGGTCTCCAGGGTCCTGTTCTCCCTGTGCTGGAGGATCAAGGCCTTGTTGAGGTTCTCTAACACAGTGGACATATACCTGATGGCCCTGACCTCCCCCTTGTTGAACATGGTGGAGTCCAGGAGCTCCTGCAGCATAGACTTCACCTCGGAGACCTTCGTACAGGTGGTGTGCTTGTCCTGGAGCATCTGCTCTGGGCTCAGTGGCTGAGGGTGGGCTGTCAGGTTTTGTGTGCCATTCTCCCGCCAGCCCTGCCAGAAGGTGTGTTTGGACACTGGAAGATGTGGAGAGAAAAGGTGACAAACTCTCATGGGTCTCAAGGATTATACTGATCCTCCAGACCCTGTTTGGCCAAAATTCTCATCCAACCCTCTTAAGGATCTGGAAAAATTAAGGAGCTGGGGCTATCTGTGAAACCAGCAGATAGGAGCCACCTCTGCTTGGCCCAGGGCTTGCCCAGAGCTTCCCGCAAGGTCAGCCAGCACCACAGCCCGTGAGAACCCAGAGGGCTCTGGAATAGTCAGTCCAGGTCAATTCAATTCAACATATTGTCCACCCTCCATGTCCTCCTCGAGTGGAGTTACTTTTCTAGTCATGCCACTTCCCAGCCTCAACGTCTGTATTTGGCTCCCAACTACCCAACTACCCAAACCCTCCCGGGAAATTTCATTTCCCTTCTCTGTTACCACAGGACTGTGCTTGCTTGTTTTAAATGACTAGTGTCTTTCCATTTTGGAGGTCACAAACTCCTTCGCTAGCCACTCACCCCAGGAAAATGCATTAAACACAGGTTGTGCATGCCAGGACCTGGGCTTCTCAAAGACCGGGTCGTGGCTGTAGTTACACTCCTTGAGATCCCACTACGTGGGGGAGGCCTGGTAGGGTGATGATCTGGGAGCATCTGTTCACTCGCATATTCAGTGAACTTCACTGCAGAAAAGCAGTGGCTACCTTTGGATGAAGGGACCCAGGAAATATGGAAACCACGTGATGCTAACGTCGAGCCTCTAGTCAGTGTGTCAGAGAGGCCACGTGGCCTACTGGTTCAGAGCTGGGATTTGAGAATCGGATAACCTAGGTTTGAATATCGTCTTTCCCACTTGCCTCGGGCGTTTCCTAACTTCTCAGTGTTCAGTTTTCTACTCTGAAAAGTGGGGCTGATCCTAGCATCTTCTTCATAGGACTTAATTAGATTAGGCACATTTAGTGCCAAACAGGGTACTAAGTACCTAGAAAATGCTCAGTAAATAATTTCTAAAAAGAAAGAAGGTAATCTGAAATGTATAATCTAGCAAGGAAATAAGTCAAATAACTGTATTTCAAGAAATGGTCTGGTGAAGGCTGTAGTAGTTTTTTCATTCACTGCTCCCGTCTCCCTCCTCACTCCACTGTTTCCCTTACTTGACTGGTAGTGAGCGTGGCCATGAGGATCAAGGACCAATGCTCATGTCAGCTATTGTTTATTTAGCCCTGAGTATGGCCAAGCCTGGTGTCAGACTCCTCCTGCCGTGTGGAGGCCTCCCCACAACCCTGCAGGTAGGCAGGGTCTTCCTCACTTGTATGGATGGACAAGAGGCTTAGAGAGATCAACTGACTTGTCCAAAGTCACACCGCCAGAAATGAGCAGAGATGAGGTTCAGAGTCAGATCTGGCTGACTCGGAAGCCCATGCCTTTGAGTAAGATGAAGCCGGAAAATCTAAGTGTGGGGCTTGCTTTGCCACAGACTTTCTTCATGGTCTCTTCTCCTGGCTTTGGTGTCCTTATCTACAAGATGCGGGAGCTAGATCATCCCAGGTCCTGGTGTGGGTAGCAGCAAAGGTCCAGGGTCCAGCGTGTTGTTGACTGGCACCTCTGGAGCAGCCATAACTGGGAAGGCTTGGGGGTGGGGGGACCCTCAGCTGATTTGGAGTGAGGAAGGTATGGTTCTCGGGTTCTAGCTACAAACTCCAGCTTCCTGGCTTTCTAGCCTTGTTCCCCAAAACCCACAGGAGTACACATAGGGACCTGTCTCCGTATTACCCCCACCTCCAAACCTGAGGGACAGTTCAGAACTGTTGAGTGCTCTATTTGGGTTGAACCCCCTGCCCCTCTCCTCTGCCCATCCATCTCAAGTAAAGCTCTTGTTATGGAGGAGGGTCAGGAAGACCCCAGGAGACCTGGCTGTGGCTTCTTCCCTTGAGATGGTCCCCCCCACACCCCAGCTTCCCTCCCACGCATTCCTGGAACCTACTTTGTGCCCTTTTCTTCTGTTCTTCAATGAGAGTGGAGCAAAGAGAAACAAGAGACTCAATGCCGCCTTTGGTGGCGATGAGGGAGAGAGGTAACACTTTCTCCATCACATCAACCCATTCGTCCAGGGCTGCTTCTTCTTCCTCACTCCTCCTGTTCCCGATCTCATAGGTCAGGCTGTCACCTAGAGAGGAGGGGAGGTGCAGGCTGAGAATGTCTGCCCCCTAGGATCCCCAAGCAGCGTTCTAACACAGTGGTCACAGCAGCTTTGAGGTTCACATTGGCTTCACCTCTTCTTTCTTCTAAGTTTGCTAGAGGGCATGTGCATTTGCCAGAGAGAGATGGCTAGAGATAAAGTACCCCAATAGGCAAGGTCACACTAACAATGCCGTCTCAGTTTCTCCCTCCTTTTGGGATTTTGGGCACACATGCTCAGCGTGTTTTTCAAGCCACCAGGCCCGCACTACAGCCTGTGGCTAAGGCAGCCGGATCCTACATGGCTGACCCAGGGCTAACCATAAGGCTATAGTGCGGGCCTGGTTTCACGTCTTACTAGCTATTGCCATTGGGCAACGTCTTTATTCCCTTGAGCCTGTTTCCTTCCCTGTGAAAGGGCTGGGTGAAGATGAAGTGAGGTAGCACCCCTGACACGATCAGCACGCGGTCTGCCACGTGGAGACGCACACTAGACATGAACTTGTGTTGCCGTGCTGCCTGCTGGGAGTGGTCTGTCTTGTTGCTCTATGCCCATTGCCTGGCCCAGTATCTGGGCAGTACTGACGTGGAGTCCACAGCTCTCTTAGTTCTTGAGGGCAGCTGAGGAACCGCTGAACTGCCAGGGCCAGGGCAGTGCCAGCAGGCAGGGGCATCCCTAAACCCTCTTCCCCACCACTGCAGCATCCAGCATGCCTCACCACACAGGCTGCAGTGGAGTGATTCCGATTCGAACGGGGGCGGGGAATGTCGTGCCTGGTGTCAGGGCTGCATAGCTGGTCCGTGCCCAGACAGCAGTGCCAGCGGCTTACAGCTGGTACCAGCGCTTGTTTATAACGGCCATTCAGTGCTTTGACTGGCAAAATAGCCACCGGGGGTTTGAATTTAATGTTTATCCTGCTAAAAAAAAATGAGACGTCATAATGGACCCATGACTCAGACTTTATATATTCGTCAAATATCATCGTCTATGGCATTTTGGACAATCACACATTTGTCCCTCTGAGGAGTAGGGACAGTGCATCAGACACGAGTGGCAGAACGTTACACTGGAAAAGGGGATTGCAACGTGTCCATCGCTCTTCCTCAACACACCACCCCCTCTCCCCTCTAGCAAGTGTGACCTAAGTAGGGAGGGAGTGTACTCGTCCGAGGCCAGCGCGTTGGGAGGAAGGTGCCCACGCACGGTGCCCGCAGACTCACCCCAGTCACCCAGCCAGCGGAGAATGTCATACAGGTGCTTCTCTCTCGTCTTAGCATCTTGGGAGAAGGAGGCAATTTTCTCCAGCAAGATGAATCTCTTCGCGCCCTTTTGCTCTCTCTGATGAGATTTTGCCTTCTCTTTTAAATCATATCCTAATTCTTCCTGGAAACGGTTGATGACACAATTGACATTGTCCAAGATGTCTGAGAGCTGAGTAGAAATATCCTGGATGGGAGGCAGCGGCAGGTTGTAGCGTCAGGGGTGTGTACTCTCAGTCAGAAGCCTCATGCTTAGTGTGACCTGAGGACTTGTCGCTTATCCTCTCTGGGTCTTGTTTGTTTTACAAAATGGGAATCAAATAATAGTATTTATGTCACAGGGTTTTTGTGAGGATTAAATGAATTAATACTTGTAAAGTACCTGGTCTTGGGCCCAGTAGATGGTGTCATAGTTACGTCACTGGACTCCCATGTAGTCGGGCGTGGTCAGAGTCCCAGACCCAGTGGCTTAAAATGCACGCTAGGCACATGTGCACATGTATTCAAGGTCCCGAGAGGATAATGGAAGACAAGGGATTGCAGTGTGGCCACCCCCATCCCGGGGGATGATTTCTCGCTTTCCATCTCTGTCTCTTGGGCAAGCGCACGCGCCCTAGCAAAAAGTCTCTCGAGAAAAAAAAAAAAGTGTTAGCTCTTACTATTATCATTTTGATTATTAAAATCAGAGAAGGACAGAATACTAAAAATGCACAGTGGACATTTCTTCAGAATTTCATAATTTGCTGTGGATTTCCCAATGTCTCTCCTCACAAGAATCCAGAGGAAATAGAAAATGGAAAAATGAGGTCCCAAGAACCCCTCAGGACCAGAGGTTCAAGTAAAAAATGCACTAGAGCCCGGTGTTCAGGGTGACAGCCTTTGGCCATTTCTCCAGTCTCCCCTCCCCCTCAGCTTGAACAGACTCTGAAGCAAGAAATCTGGGTCCCTGCTAGGCCTCCCCACTGTGGCCTCAGGGCTGTCCTAGAGCTTCCTGCCCTTCCTTGTGGGCTGCTCCCTTGGGCTGATTTCAGCTCATCCTGCAGCAGCCATGGCTAGCATGTGGGTAGTATGTACTAATCTGTCCTCAAACCCTAGTAGCTGAGTCTCCCAGGACACTCAAGGGCCCAGAGCTAGAAGCTTGCTTAAACCTGGGATCAGTCCCAGGCCTCCACATCAGACCTCAGTGGAAGGGGGGCCTCCTCATCTTGGGCTACCTCCTGGGCCCGAGTTAGCTGGGCAGCCTCAATCTTCGAGATGATGGCTTTCACCGATGCGGGGGTCACCAACTGTGGGGGATTGTCCGTCTCCATGTTGGATCACTCTGTCGGTCACAGAAGTCCTGTGTCCTTGGTACAAAGGCCTCGGCACACAATGTTGGCTGCTCTGGGGGTTAAGGGCCCCAGGTGGTTCCTGGGTACCCTTTGCCCCACAAAGCTCCTTCAGTAACTGCCAGACACCAGGTTCCAACGGACCCTCTTTTCCCCAGTGACATCATCAGTTTGATTAGAAGATTTAGGAAATGAGAACCTGCCTTTTTATTCATTACCTAATCTATATTTTCTTGACCTGTTGCTTTTTAAAAATCATTAAATGTTAGGCTCCCAAACTGAACATGAATGACTAAAAAGCGATCAGAAAAAGTTATTTTTTCAAAGCAGATTTTAAATTTTTAAAAAATTAGAGCCAATTGATAACTATAAAAATGGAAATATTTTCACTGAGGATTGAGGCCCAATCAACATTTTACTTAACCGAAGGTGAAGTCATGGCAAGAGACCTTTTTAAGACAAATGAACATCACTCTATGCCCAGGAGCTAGCACCATGCCTAGTACATACTAGGCACTTAATAAATACTTAACTGAATGAATGTAAATACAAATAATGTATACATGCAAATTATTCTCCTTTGCTACTAAAGTTATTCCCATGTAATAGCTAAGGAATTAAATATTCCTCAGTGGTGTCGTGGCCACTTAATAACTTGTCACCTGACACAAACTTTCACAAACTATCAATTCATTCATTTACTCAAAGTTAATTTTTTTAAAAAGACTTTTGCCATAGGGCTCATTTACTTGCTAGAGAGAGCCTGAGAGAGACAGAGAGAGAGGGAAAGTGAGAAATCATCCCCTGGGAGGATGGCCATACTGCAGCCCCTTCTCTTCTATTCTCCTCTTAGCACTTTGGGCGTGCATGCACACATGTCTGGTGTGTTTTTCAAGC